GGAATAAGAAATCATAAAATCTTCTCACTGAAAACAACCTTTGTCACTTTTGGAATCTTAGAGCTAAAATGTCTCTAGAAATCATTCAACTTTCCCATTTGTAGATGATAGAAAACTTGACCAAGTTCACCATGAGATGCTAGGATCAGGACTTATATTTCACTCACATATCTGTCCATTGGTTTCCCATTGGTTTTAGTTCTGTCCTTGTAAAGGGTTTGCCCTGAAAATATTGAAGGCAATTACTTTCTTACTTTTTATTCTGAGTCTTCTCTTCTCTCCTCTTTTTCTCTTCTCTTTCTATTGGGAGAGATGAAGGTGTCTTTTTTTTTCTCTGTAGGCTGAGGAGCTATTCATGGAATTTGCACACAAGGCTTCAGCTTTCAACCACTGGTGTGAGAACGCTGAGGAGGACCTGTCCGAAAACGTGCACTGTGTCTCCCTGAATGAGATCCGCCAGCTGCAGAAGGACCACGAGGCTTTCTTGGCCTCCTTGGCCAAGGCCCAGGAAGATCTGAACTATTTGCGAGAGCTAGACCAGCAGATTAAGTCCTTACATGTGCCCTCCAGCCCTTACACCTGGTTAACCATGGAGGTGCTGGAAAGGATGTGGAACCACCTACCTGACATCATCAAGGTACACCGAGGCACACCAGGGACCTCCTTTGGCTCTAGTGACCATGACAGTTTAGTGGAGTACCCAAGCTGGGGGACCTCTGAGAAAGAAGGAACATTTTTAATTGGGAAAGCAGCTTTACATTGGATAGTCTAAGAAATATCTGAAAATATGTTCACAATAAGTATAGCCCTATGTAACGTAGTGTGAACAGTTTTATGCTTCAGGGTGTTGAGCAGTGATTTAAGGCAGCAAACACAAGCTGCAGGACATGGTTCTGAAAATGAGTTATAGAAAGTTCACGAGGCTTGCAGATATCTTTGAAGTCTCTATATGCCTTCATCCAAAGCATTCTCTATTTTATACACACCTCCAAAAGTGCCTTTTAAAAGTGCCTGAATTTAACTTTTGTCTGTCTATAATGATGTTCATTATAGAAGCTATGAAAAATATTTAAAAGTTTAACAAAGCAAAAATTTACCATAAAGTCGCCAATTTTAGATGGCAACTCTTATAACTACCTTTCTCTTTAAGGCTGTTTTTATGCTCATTTCAATGAAATTTCACCTGGAAAAAAATGAGCAGAAAGATTTGCCTTCATTATTTTATTATTTTTACTGAGTTCTGCCTTTGAGACATCTGCAAATACTTATGGGAAGTGACATAAGTTTCCTCACCTTTTCAAGATGAGAAGAAGCGGGCTGGAAGCAATGTGAGCACATAGGCACATGCCTCCGGAATATAAATTTGGGAGAGTTACGATGTATGGCTGAGCCTGGGAACCAATTATTTTACTGAAAAGAAAGGTTTTCAACGTGCAATTCGCTGTCTGTGATTTGGGTTTCTAGGAACGGGAACAAGAGCTGCAAAAAGAAGAGGAAAGACAGGTTAAGAACTTTGAGATGTGTCAGGAGTTTGAACAGAACGCCAGCGCCTTCCTTCAGTGGATCTTGGAAACCAGGTGTGCTATGTTTCCGCAAAATTTATGATCCTTATTCTACACACTCCATTTCCTACAAGGATAAAGTTCATAAAGGAGGGGAGAAGGAGGGACTCCTACAGTGTTTACGCTGTCCTAAATTACCACGTGCTTTCTATTGGTAATTGGTTACTTTCTGAATCAATCCTTGCAAAACCGAGAAATGAGAGTTTCAGCCTTCTACCCATTGTGTACCCTTCAATATTCTCTTCTGGATATTCTCATTTTTTCCCTGTTGCCTATAATTACAGTTCAAAAATATTAGCAGTTCTTTCTTACTTAAACATTTTAATGTTGAAATTATCTTTGCATGTTACAAAGTACTTCTCTGTCCAGTAAGTAACTCACTTAACTTTTAGAGCACACTGGAAAAGTATACAGAGAAGACCTTATTACCTCTGTGTGGAAAGAAGTTTAGTAGATGCATTGATGGGCTCACGGTCACATGTGTATTTATTGACACAGCAGAAGTAGAGCACAGTGTAAACATCTAGTATGAAGCTCTTATGTTGCCTGACTAAAGCTATGATGAGGATCAAGTGAGATAGTATATGCTAATGGCTTTGATTGAATCCAAAGTGTCCTATATGTGAAAATAACATTTGTCACATCTTCTGGAGCAAATGACCTTGAAGAAGAGGAGACTGAGAAAGAGTAATA